AAGTGGAAGGGCAGAGGAAAAAACGAGGAAGCCCCTCAACAAGATGGATTGACACAGTGGCTGCAAAATTGCTTCAGGCATAGGAACAACTGTGAAGCTGCAGCAGGACTGTGCAGTGTTTCCCCCACTCTTGCTTAGGGTTGCAAGAGGTGAAGTGACTCCTTGGAACCTAACAATAGCAACTGGAAGAATATTCCAAAGGGAGGACTTCTCATTTGGTGATAGTCCTGGCAGCAAGGTGGTAGGTCTCTGGGTCACAGTGCTCTAGTTGGGGTCTTTTTAGCTCTGAGATTTAGATTTACGTCATCTAAGGCCAGCAGACTTTGAGTGTGGTTTTCCAGCAAATGCAGAGCAGGCAAGCTCAAAATGGCTATACATGCACTTAGTTGGAATATTCATACACACACTATATATATATTTAAGTTGAACAGTTTTACTGATGTACTTCTCATAATTCACGTACCATATAGTTTCATAGTCTAAACATATTAAAGACAGTTATGCAATCATCACCACAATCAATCTTAGAACATTTTATTCTTGCCTGTACTCATTATCATTACCTCCTCACTTCTCCCCTGACCTCCTTGCTCTAACTCCAAGAATACTGTCTATATAGATTTACCTATCCTGGATATTAAAAAAACAAACAAAACAAAAAGATAACAACAACAACAACAACAACAATGAAAGCACAATGACAAAACTAGTTGCTTTTCAAATCGCAGTAACCCCATGTGTCAGAGGAGAATTGCTGCATGAGAAATTCTTGGCTAACTCTTTGTGTGGCAATGCTGGATGGGTTCAAACCATCCACCTTTCCATTCGCAACTGGGCATGTAATCATTTAACTGCTATGCCACCAGATCTCATTGATCGCTCTTTGTCTACGTCTAGATTGTGGTTATGTGTAATTACGTCGATCCTGTTGTTGTTGTCAAATGCCATCTAGTCAGTTCTGACTCATAAGCAACATTTAGACTGACAGAATGAAACCCTGCAGGTCCTGTGTCATCCTCGCCTTTCTTCTTATGTTTAAGTCCAATGTTGCAGCCACGTTGTGAATCCACCTTGTCCAGAAGCTTCCTCTTTTTGTTGCCCCTCTATTTCACCAAGCATGATGCTCTTTCTTATCCAGGGACTGGTCTCTCATGTCACATGTCCAAAGTACACGAGACAAAGTCTTCCCACTCTTGCTTTTAAAAAGCATCCTGGCTGCCCATCTTCCAAGACAGATTTGTTTGTTCTTTTGGCCCTTCATGGTACTTTAAGTATTTTTCACCAGCACTATAATTCAATTCCTTCAGTTCTTAGGTTTTCCTTATTCAGTGTCCAACTTTTACATGCATTTGAAGTCATTGAGTATACGTGGCCTAACGAAGGTGCACCTTGACCCTCAAAACGACATCCTTGCTTTTCAACACTTTAAAGAGGTCTTGTGCAGCAGATTTACCCACTGCAATGTGTGATTTTATTTCTTTATTACTGATTCCATGAGTACTGATTGTGGATACAAGCAAGATGCAATAGTTGACAATGTCAACATTTTCTCCATTTACACCAGGGTCCAGTTGTGAGGATTTTTGGTAGACTCTAACTCCTGGCAATGATTCAAAGCTATGCATAGAGTTTTCAGGGGCCCTTTCTTTCCAAGCGGGGAGCCAAGCTCCTCTTAACTGTTCTTAGTTTGACAGCTCCACTGAAACCGGTTCATGTTTGGTGACCCTGTTGGAATTTGAAATACTGGACATAGCTTTCAGCATCACAGAGAGACAAGCCACCACAATACGACAATGTGACAGACAAATGTACTTCATTGTCAAAAAGGACATTGAAAAATTCCTCATGAAGTACAATACTGTCTATGATAGGATTATATCTATCCACCTTCAAGGAAATCCAATCAATACAAATATTATTCAAATTTGGGCACCAAGCACCAGCAAGTGGTGAAGAAATTTAAGAATTCTACCAAAGACTTCAATCAGAAATTGATCAAACATGCAATTAAAATGCATTGGTGATTGGAAGAAAGAGGAAGGAACAGTAGCTGGAAAATATGGTCCTGGTTATAGAAATGAAGTTGGATATCAAATGATAGAAATTGCACAACCAAAGACAAATATATTTTTCTTAGCAAATATCTTTTTTCAACAACACAAGAGACCCTATGCACATGAACTTCCCCAGATGGGATTGCAGAAATCGAACCGATTACATCTTTTGGAAGAGATAATGGAGAAGCTCAATATCAGCAGCAAAAACCAGGCCAGGGGCTAACTGTGGAAAAGGTCATCAATTTCTATTACATAAGTTCAGGATAAAGCTGAAGAAAATGCAAAGATGTGCACAAGACCCAAGATACAACCTTGAGTCTATCCCACCTGAATTTCTAGAATATCTCATGAACAGATTTGAGGCATTGAACACCAATGACAGAAGACTTGAACATCTGTGAGAGGTCATTAAGACCATCTTTCATGAAGAAATCAAACGATCATTAAAGACAGGAAAGATAAAATCTGAGTAGATGTCAGAAGAGACTCTGAAACTTGCTCTTGACCCTAGAGTAACTAAAGCAAATGGAAGAAAGAACGAAGTCAAAGATCTGAATAGAAAATTTCAAATGGCAGTTCAAGAAGACAAAAGCAGATATTATAATGAAATGTGTAGAATTAGAAGAGCAAAAAGGGTAGAATATGCTCAGCAGATCTGAAATGGAAAGAACTCTGGAAAATTTTCAAGCCTTGAGTTGCAATATGAAAGATTCTCTAGGTCAAATATTGAATGATGTAGAAAGCATCAAAAAGAGATGGAATGACTACAGAGAGTCACTGTATCAAAAAGAATTTGCCAACCGTCAACCATTTCAACGGGTAGTATCTGAGCAAGTACCAATGGTCCAAGCTACACTGGGTGCCACTCTAGCAAACATGATGTCCTACTTCAGGGAATGGTCTCTTCTGACAATATGGCCAAAGTATGTAGGAGGAAGTCCAGCCATCCCTGTCTCTAAGGAGCTCTCTATTTCTTCCAAGGAAGACCAGTTTGTCCCTTTAGCAGTCGTTGGTACTTTCAAGATTCTTCTCCAGCACCACAATTCAAATGCATCCATTTTTCTCTGTCCTTCCTTATTCAATATACAATTTTCAATGCATATGAGGCAATGGAGAATGCCATGGCTTGAATCAGGTGCACCTTAGTCCTTAAAGTAACATCTCTACTCTAAAGAGGTCTTGTGCAGAAGAGTTACATAATGAAACATCATGATACATGGAGAAAAGGTTGAAGTTGTCTAGGATTTTGTCTGGTTAAATCCACAATCGATGCTCATGGAAACACCAGTCAAGAGATCAAAAGATGTGTTGCATTAGGTACATCTGCTGTAGAACATCTCTTTAGAGTGTTGAAAAGCAAGAATGTTACTTGTGCCTGACCCCAATAGTGGTAATTTTGACTGCTTCAGATGCATGTGAAAGTTGGACGTTGAATAAAGAATAGAGAAGAAGAAATGAGGCATTTGAATTGTGGTGCTGGCAAAGGATCTTGAAAGTATCATGACTGCTAACCTGTCAGACAGATCTGTGTTGGGGAAGGTATGGCCTGAGTGCTCCTTTGAGGCACGGATGGCATGACTTTTTCTGGCATATTTTGGACATATTGCCAGGAGAGACCAGTCCCTGGAGGAGAGCGTAGGAAAGCAGAGGGGCAGCAAAGGAGAGAATGGCTCTCAACAAGAAGGACTGACGCAGTGGCTGTCACAATAGGCTCAGGTAGAGGAGCAGGGAAGGACCATGCAGTGTTTCATTTTGTTGTGCATCGG